GTTGTTCTGACTTAAAATCAGGCGTAAACTTCCTTCAGAGTCCATTATCACTATTCCTTAGCTAGCTGTAGAGGTTCTATTCTTTAAGAAAGTTCCTGTGGCTTAATCTACTGCCTCTGCTAGACCATTAGCTCATCAGTCCAGTAACCTGGGGGTTAGGCACCTACATCCTTTTAAGGGTCTGTGCCTAAGCGAGGAGGACTGTGAAAGTATACAACACTATATGATCACTGGCTTAGATGACCTCGAAAGGCAGAGTTGGGGGAGGGGCTTGTTTGTTTGTTTTTAAAAGCCCACTACAGTAAAACTCCGATGGCCCGGCATCTGATGGTCCGGCACCATCAGGAACCCGGAAGTGCTCCGGGCAGTCGGACCATTGGATTAAAAATCAGGGGCATAGTGTCTGGGACAGAGTGAGCTGGGAATCAGGCAATTCCTGGCTTGCTCCCAGTCACCCCTACCTCCTCTTCCCATGCAAAGACTGTGCTGGGGGGTGGGGGGGAGGAGAGAGAATGACTTAAGCCCCTGGCACCAGCTCTTCTCTCCCCCCACCCCCCATTGCTGCCTCTGATAGCAATGTGCGGGGGAGACTAGTCGACTATCCAATAAGTTTTTGCTTATTGGATAGTCGACTAGTTGCTTACACCCCTAGTCTGATTAGAAAAGAACTTCTCTTTTCAATTGGATTTATTTAAATCAGATAGTGATGATGTTTTTTTAAAGAATAGCAGTTTAACCTATCTGAACAGAAACTTCAACCCAATCACGAGGAAGTGTTTATTACTATATTTCAGTCTCAAAAAAGCAATATCACTAAAATGATCATTTAGGAATCTGTCCTGTAAGATCACTGCTGGAACAGAATGACACCTAGTGGCTATTTTCTAAGTTGCAGATTAGTTCACTGGTTGAAATTAAACGGTCTACATTGCAATTAAAAACCTCCAGCTCACCTACCTGATATAGGCTTACGTAGCTCAAGATGCAGCCAAAACTCTCAGACCTTGAGAAGCGAGAGTCCCAAAGCTCCAGCTGCAGCTCAAAACTCCTGCACCTGGGATGAGGAACCTAAGGCCCGGGGACTGAATGCAGCACCCGACTTGCTTAGATCTGGCCCAGAGCCTCAGAGCTCCCCCTTAGCATTGGGGAGCCCATGCTGGCACTTCAGCTGTTCCTCTCCTACCACCACACCATGGGCTGGAGCACACAAAATCTGCTATGCTGGCCCCCCTAGGCACTGGTGTGCAAGGGGAATGTTAGGACTGTCTTTCTCCTTTTCAGTCAAGGGCCACATCAGTGAAGTGTTTTATCTGACTAACAGCTGCAATGCTGTTTGCCTTAAGAGTACAGGCAGTCCCCGGGTTACGTACAAGATAGGGACTGTAGGTTTGTTCTTAAGTTGAATTTGTATGTAAGTCGGAACTGGTACATATTGTAGGGGAAACTCTAGCCAAACATTTCTCCAGAGCTCAGTTTTATTCTCCCACACCTCACTTCCCTCAGTCCTTTATTCTCAAGCTGAGGTGTCTGCTAAGAAAAGCCGCTCCGCGTCTCCCTGGTCTGCTGGGGGGAAGCAGCTAGTGCGGGGTTGCCTCACCCTGTTTGTAAGTAGGGATCCGATGTAAGTGGGATCCATGTAACCCGGGGACTGCCTGTATCTGACCTACAGAACAAATGCTTGGAGTACTACTACATAAAAATATGGTTAGATCTTTAGGGCAGTGTCTTTGCATCTCTTAGCAATGGAGATTTTTCCGAGGCATACATTTCACCAGCCTCAAATGCATTTTATTATGTCATGAACTAGTGGAGAGAGTCTGATCTACTTGGAAATTTTTACTGTTACCTAGCCCATGAAGGTAAAGGGCAGGGGCGGATATAGGGCAGGGCGAGCGGGCAGGGGCGGATGTAGGGCAGGGCAAGAAGCCATGCGCCATGGCAAAGGGGGGCCCTGCGAAATTGTGCTGCACTGAGCCCCGCAAAATGGTCATCTGCCCCTGACCTTGGGGACTGTGCTGCCATGTGTTAACAGCTGATTAGTTCACTTTGAGCTATTCCTGTTTCAAACAGGAAAAACAGTTAATGTATTGCACCTGAGCAAAATGAACTAAAACTATTCACGTGCAGCAAGCAACGTCCATATAAGTAGGAAAGTTCAGATTGTCACAATGTCAACCACTGTGACAGTCATATCCTTAAGTATAAGCAATAAGCAGGCTGTGCCCTCACTTATATATGGTATCTCAAACTGGAGAAATATCCCTTCAGTAAAAGTGGACATTGGAATTGAACACGATAAGTTATTCCATCCTTTGGTTAGAGCCAATGGCATTCTAGCAGTTCTTTTCTTGTTCCTACACTGCAAATGAAACTTAATTTGCAGTGGCTGAGACATCGCCCAGGACAAGATGGTACTGGTCAATATGGTATGTTGATTCACTACTGAATTGAGGGATTCTAAGGTGTAGCTTTTAGTTGGTTTACAGTATCATCTAGAGTTGAGATAAGTAGATATCACCTGAGGGGACTAGACTCCAGGGAGAGCTTTAATTGTATTCTGAACAATAGAGATTGATTTCTGACACCCGTGGGCCACAGAACGCTCCTCTCCCAAGTGTAGTACAACCAACCCATAAAATAGTTAGAGGACAAGGTTTCCTAATTTGACCCATGGAAACAGAAGAAACTCAGTAGAAAGAGCAGCACAGAGCTGGCAGGGAAAGGAATTCTGCTTGTCAAGAAGGGGTACGCATTACACAGGTCAGCACTATGAACTCTCTCTCCAGAGCCCAGGCATTCTCATGGGAAGTTCCAGAAGCTAGCACCTAGATGACAGCTCTTCCATATGACCAATACTAGAGGGCAAAGCTCACAAGCCTCCTCAGGGAGGATTCAATACAGGCAATGCTTGAAGTTTTCCTCCCTAGATCATTCTTCTGTTTATGCCTATCCCCACTAAGTAACTGAACAGGTTAGACTTTATATTGCTTACTATCACTTTAAAAATAAAGTGAAAGTGGAATATCAATTACTCTTTATATTCAGTATCTCTTTACTACTGTTCTGACACTCAGATTCTGTCAGATTCCAGAGATTACCAAATGCAAAACCTTGAAAGAGGGAATTTGACCAAATTATTCTTCATAGCTAAAATATACAGATTGAACCTCTCTGGTCTGGCACCCTTGGGACCTGACTGGGGCCAAACCCGAGAATTTGCTGAACCACGGGAAGTGAATATTATCCAGAAGCATTACCAACACAACTACTGCTTAATGGGCTTTTAGAAGACATTTAGGGGTAAATTAGAGCTAAACAGCAGTACAAAACACAGAGCCAGGACTAGTGGCTATAAACAAACTTTATGGGACTTTGTGGGAAACTTGGCAACACTCATAAGTGGACATCCAGCTAACTAAAATGAAGACAATGGATGCTGTTGAAACAGAATTGCAGACTAGAGAAGTTCTACCTGTAGCATGATTTGAAAACTATTCAAGACAAGTTTGCAAATATATTTTCTTGGATAAATATCGTATCTGAAATATATATACCTTCTGAAAGAGGTGCAACTCTAAATTATTCTCATATCTCAAAGGGTAGGTCTAGCTTAGGATATGAAAGACTGATGTGACAATGCATCCTGGAAATACTAGCTTCCAAAAAAAATTCTACCCTCCAGAACTAAGGGTCTACTCTGAAAGAAATGTTTGCTTCCCACCCATATGAAGAAATGCTTAAAAAATGAAATAGCACATTTTGAAATGAGATTGCTTGGACAAAATTAAAATTAAAAAAAAGCTTGCTTTTTGGTTTTAGCCAGCCAATAGTCAGCATGGAAGCTTGAGTTAGGTAATAGAGCTTCAAAGCATGCAATGTGAAAACAGCATAGAATGGGCTGAGAAAAAAAAAGTTGATTTGGAATTCTATCCTCTCCCCAGAAAGTCAGAAGCATTTTAGAAGAAAAATATTACCAATAGCATTTTTATAAGTCACTTCTGAAGTCTTTTTTTTTTTTTTTTTTTAAAGGGGTGGGGGGAAAAAAATCAGACATTTGTTTAAGAAAAGCAACTTATGATGGTCTGAAAAATAAAGAATTGTTAAAGAAGCAGGATTTTCTAATACTTTCATTCACGGTAATAACTGAAGCAACAAGTTAATTCTAAAAGCAAGTGCAGAAGTAATAAGAACAGTACAAATATGCCATGGCTGTGGGACTAGTGTGCTACTCCTCCACATCAACATTTTTGTACTGTGAGAATACGAGTTAGGAAACTAAATGTTTAATATTGGAAATTAATAGTCCCAGATGCACTAAATCTCAGATTTCTGCAATTTTCTGCTTACTGGAGTTTCACCAATAAAAGTTTTTCAAAAGCTTTTTTTTTAAATAATATTTGCATATTAAAGTGGAAAGGTGGCATTCACACCAGACTCCCAAAAAGTCGCTCACTGGTTGCCGGTATCCATTAAACATGTTTCTGCATAACAATATCCCCTCCCCCCCCATTTTTAGTTCCTGAGATGTTGGGGTTTCCGCCTCCTCCTGCCTCAGGAGGGGTTGTTTTCAGACCATGGCAGGACTTACATCCACCAAAACACACTGCCCCCATCCCATACAAAAACACACTCCCATCACATTTTTCCACTTTCCAACCGGCAAACAGATTTCTAATCTATCAGTTTGTCAGTGCATGGAGTTATTCCGGAATAGCAATTCTGCTAGAAATTCATACCCTACTTTATTTCATGCATAGACCACAGCCTTGGTTTAAAATTAAATGAGCCTTTTACAAATAACATATTTAGTTAATATAAATCATGTAGACCCAAAACTCGCTGGGTTGAACTGCTCTCGTCGCCCTCCATCCCCTCAACACATTACATAGTTGAAAAAGGTCCACAGAACAGATACTGCTAAGCTCCCACTAGCCAGAACAACTGAAATTCAGTAACTATTCCGTAAAATCTAAAATATTTTTTAAAAACAGTTAAGGAAGGATGGAGCAAATACCTGCAATAGGTACATAGCCAACTCCTTGCTGGTATACTGTAGGCATCAGGACCACTGGCTGTGGCTGCATCATCATGGCAGCTGGTAAAGACTGGATACCAAAAAGATGAGAGAAAAACAACTAAAATGACAATGTGTTTGAGCAAAACCTTCAAGTCCTACCAGTCTCTACACCTATTGATAGCAAGCCATTCGTTGACAATAATATGAATATCCCTTTTCAGGAAGTCAACAGCAATTTATTTTGAGCACTTGCAATCTGAAGTAATGAATCTATAATCCAGGAAGTAACATCAAATTAAGATGCCTTTTTATAACAATCCCCAGATAAAAATGAGGTATTCATGAGTAAGTAGGAGGAAATCATCTGAATTTCCAAAATTATTTCTGTGTATCTGTTCATGAATTGCACTTCATTTCACAAACTGAAGTTTACACAATAGAGTAAGTTCTGTTTAAAGAGCTTTAATCCATTACTACTAAAAGGTATGCCTCTTATCTAAATCCAGCATGGATTTATTTAGAAGAGTCAAAGAATGTAAGTACGTGGTTAAAGCCATCTAAAGCCATCTAAATTTAGACTCTCAACAACTTTCATTAATACTAATATTCTCACTCATGTCATGCTATCCATGTCCAGAAGGGGGTGTACAGCACCTTGGTGTTTTGAAGGTTACAGTCCAAGGCTCCTTCAGCATTCTGATCTTGCTCATTTTTTTCTCCATGATTAGGAATTTTTGCAGGCAGTATTTAAATCACTCAATACCTAACTTAACTGATCAAAATTGTTTATAAAAATTGTGGAATCATTTTTGTGATCAATAAAAATAATTCCGATTCCAAGGTTTTGAGCAAATCATTCACAGAATCTAGTTGGTCTTGAATTTGCAGAGTGTTTCTTAGTTAAGTTTTGCTACTCTTACTTCCTAATTAATAGTACTTAAGAGTAGTTCCACCACTCATTGAAAGTACAGGTGGAAGACTCACATTTGAAGAGTGCTCTTTGGACCAAAAGCCATCTAATTTTCCCAGCACAAATATTTCTCAGCATCTTCCCCTTACAAAACCTTCTAACCCATTGTTAGCATTATAAGATTTTTGATGTCATATTTGAAAGTCTGGTTGAGCATTAATCTGATCTGAAATATCTGTCTAATTTTGTATTTGTAATGCAAAACCTACAGTCTTCCACGTGAAAATAAAAGTAAAACTTAATTGTAAATTTGAGCTGTCTGTGCCTTCAGCATAACAGACTGAAAATTTTAGGAGCGCTCAAAGGCCAGGATAGTGATCAAAGTAAAGAAAGATTAGTTAAGCTTATTCAAAAGCTGTCAGGAACACTAATATTCGGGTTATTTTAAAAGCTTATGGGGTGATGGATTACATTGTTTTACAAGCAGCAACAATTTCAGACAGAACAGCGTGGAGGGCTTGCCTTTTTTGGAAACCTGAAAATATGAAGTGCCTGAAAAAATCTGGATACAATTTTTCTCCTTTCAGCTCACAGCGTACCCACCTTTAAGGATGTATGTGCTATACAGCACATACAATATCCGGCTACCTCACTCAATAGGTTGTGCAGGCAGTATTTATTGATGGAATCATTACAATATTAAGTTCACTTATACCAAAAAGCTTAAACAATATAAAGTCAACATGACAAAACATAATAGAACAGTTCAATAAAACCATGTCAGACTTCTCCTCTGCGCCTATCCCAAGAAAGCCGCCCACCATATCTTGAAGGCAACAACCCATTTGGCTTACCGTATAGGACATGACTAGGTTAATCATTCCTTCTTTGTCATCACCCTGCCTTCCGCTCAGGCTATACCACTCATCCTCCACCTTTCCTTGTTTCAGAGACTCAGGAATAGTAACGTGTGTCCAGGCGATTCGGTCGTCCATTGAAAAGGCTCTCTGAAGGGCATTAGAAATAAAATATTTCTGATCAACTTCATAGCCTTCCAAAAAAAATTCGCTCAACAGGATTCCTGATTAATGTACTTTTGAACTTAACTCTGTCACATTTTATCCATTTCAGTTTTAAGCCATTGCTTGCAACACAATGTTGGCAGGAGAAATTAAACAATGGGCTGTTCAGCCAATACAAATAAAAAGTAAACTGCAGTGGACATAATACTAAACATCAGAACGTGTGTACATATGTTGGTTTGGTATTTTCTCAAGGAAGTCATACAAGTCATGACCCATTTCAGTTTTCATTATTACGTAAACAAGCGTCAAACACATTCCATTAGAAAATACAGCAGAGTTGTAGGCATGAAGGATTAAGCAGATGCATGCAGAGTTGCAGACTACCAGCCCAAGTCAATTTGGCTACACAACATTCACCAGCAGAAGACCAACTCTGATGATGTGGATAGACTGACCCTATGCCTCACTTTTGAATGGAATTATCCAGTGTGAAAAGATTTGCAGGATACAGATGCAATTATTTTCCCTAATTTCCAGGTTTAAACTAGGGATGTTAAAAATCACGTAACAGGGTAACCATGTAATCGCCGCTGAAAATCTCAGTGGTTACGCTGTTTCCCATGTTGTGGGCTCTGCAGCACAAAGCTTAGCTTTTTACTGCAAAGCCTGCAGGGAAGCCTCCCTGGGAGTGGGGCCATCAGCCCCTGCTGGCCCACTTCACGGGGAGGAGGATTCACTGAGTGTAACCGACACCTTTAACAAATAAGCATCTGCTTATCAGTTAAATGGTTAGTCCCTAGTTTAAACCTGTACAGGTTGGACCTCCCTCATCCAGTCCCAAAGGAGGGAGCTTCCCAGTCCAGGACCGACCAACTCTGGTCCCTCTGCTGCCGCCAGTCTTCAAGCCTTCCAGCCAGACTCTCCTCACAGCTACCGACCTCGCTGCTGGCCCAGGCCAATAGGCTCCACTACCAGTCAGCCAGGATCCCTGCCCCAGGCCTTCAGACCAGTTCGCTCCAGGCCACTGCCATCTTTCCCAGCTGCGGGCCCTGTACTGGATTCCCAGTTGCTGGGGCTCTCTGGTCCAGTAACATTCAGGGTCGTGCCAAATCATGGATGTTGCTGGACCAGAAAGCCCCAGACCAGAGAGGTCCATCATCAACAACCACCACCACGACCACCATGGGCTCAGCACCCGTTGGTGTTCGATGCCTCCCTCACTATTTCCTTCCATCTTTCCCTGTCCAGTGCAGAGTGGCTTAGTTTCTCTAGACTAGCACCGCACTAATCTACTATATCATCTACCCATTCTCTGTAGGGTCTGCCTCTCCTATTCAGACCATCCATTACGCCGAATACCAGAGTCTTAACTATTCGCTCATTGTTCATTCTGCAAGTATGCCTGAATAGCTGTAACTTTCGTTGTATAACCATCTGTAGTAGATTCTCTTTTGGCTGTATCTCCCTATATAATTCCTCATTGGTGACCTTCTGCATCCATCCTGTTCTCAGGATCTTTCTAAAACAACAATTCTCGAAAGCCAATATCCTCTCTCTTCGAATCTTTCATTATCACCCATGTCTCACATCCGTACAACATGCTGCTAAATACACGTTTTTCAAGACACTCAGCTTCATTCCTATGCTAATCGCTTTACTTTCCCAGATATTCTCCTTCAAACTCACTCTTGCTTTTGCTATTTTAGTTGCTATTTCCTTCTTACAGTCTCAAACTATTTACTTGTATCCTGTCCTCAACTAGCTTTTTCTGAGAAATTATGAACTGTTGCACAGAATATTGTTCCCTACAGTTGGAATTCTACAATGAAGCCTCCAAATCTACCCTCAGCAAAACCTGTTTTACTTTTCAATGCCTTGATTGTTTGCATCAAATCTCTTTGGAGAGAGGACTGAGACAAAATTCATCTTCCAAACAGAAAGCAGAGAAAACTCAATTACTTGACACATTTAACTCAGAACTGGACAAAAGCAAAGCAGAACATATTCTAAGGAGCAATCATACAATGGCTTCATATCTAGACAGACTAGATAACCAGTTATTTTCACAATTCTCTAAGCCAGAACAGACATATTAAACCAGCACTAAATATATTTGCCAAAACAGAATTTTTCCTTACACTTTCTAATATGGGTAGAACTGCAGGAAAACTTAGGTGAGGGGAGAGAATCTTACTAAATATTTCAGAAATGTGTCTGTCCATCCATTTGTTCAAGAACTCCTTCTAAACAGTAAGAGCTAGGACCATGAAATTTGATATGCAGTTTCCTCTTATCATAATGTACAGCAAGGTAAGGGTTTGGTTGTACTAGGACAATGAGATATGCCTGGAATTCAATTCCATTTAATGAGAAACAAAAGAAAGAATCTGGCAGGAGGGAGTTATATTGAGAATGACTACAAGGAGGCAGCAACGGGCCAAAGATGGGAACCAAGACAGCTATAACCCCATTGGACCAGCAGGATGCAGAAATGGAAAAAGTGACATATCTACTATATATTTCAGATAGTTTGTGTGTGTCTGTCTCCCAGTGGGGGAGGGACATGCACCCCTCCCCCACCGAGCCAGCTGCAACAGCCCTGGGCAGGCACTTCTTACCTGGCACCAAGCTGCTGTGAGAAAGAACAACCCCAGGCCTGTCTCCCCAGGGCAGCCTCAATACTGCACTCTTCATTCCCACTCCCACCCCAAAACAATGATTTAAATGAAGAAAAAAAATCTTTTGAGTTAAGGACCTGAGCAATGCCAGGTAAATATACTAGTGTCTCAACAAAACAAAAAGTTATGAGCCTACTAACACTGTCTCCTTTTTGAGGAATCATATGCCTTGACTCGTTTACAACCTCCCTAGCCAGTTACCATATATCCACATCTCTTTTATGATTCCTAATACCACAGCATGTGAGCACCTACAAGTAACTAAGACAGAAAACACATTCTTCATTCCAAGAATGTAAAAGATAAAACTTGATTAGTTCTTAGGGATTCTGTGTGTGCACATGCATAGGCCTGTGTGGAGAAACTGAGGGTAACCTAGGCAGAAATGAAATCTATGTATAGTTGTCAATTAATAAGAATGGTGGTCATTTCTCTTGTGGGAGTGAGTTCCACAGATTCAGCTCCTGTGATTGCAGGAGACAATTTTCACAAGCTTTCATATATCACTGGGCCACTACTCCAAAGAAGTATCTCTCCCATGAAAATGAACTTTTTTTTTATTCAAGAGGCTGTCAACACAGACAACAAAGCACTGGGCTGACATATTCAAAGTGAATGGCTTGGTTCAGGAGAAGGGCTATTGCATTTAAAAAAAAAAAAGATGAACTTCTCTAACAAAATTCAATAACCAAGGCAAGTCGTCAAAAATGCACAGACCACCACAGTCAGGTCTGAATCCTTTAGAATCAGTTATTTATTTGCTGCTCTTGGATGCCTAAATAACCAAAGAGCTCAAAAGAACCCCACAGCTATAAATCAACTTATGTTAAAGGAAAAATACTTTTGATAATGGCTTCCTTTTGCACCATGTGCAAGTTCTTCAATGTGCTTCCCACCAGCAACACCTTAGTCTTGTCTTGGATTCAGATTAAGACACCTGCTTTGTAGCGAGCCAATTTTACTTATGTATTGAGTAATGAACCTAAAAAGTTATGTTTCAGGTAAAAGAGAGCTCTCCCAATGACTTCATACAGAAGTTGAGTAACGTGAAGGGAGAGAATTAAACCTTGAATCTTGCAAACAGAAAGCCCTGAAGATGATCAAATGCCCACCAATAATCCTCTGGATGCAGTTCAAGGAGAAAAGACGTAGGCCATTTCAATGCATTTCTGTTTGGCTTTGCAGCTTCTTAAGATCAGGTATAAAGTGTCAGAGATCCAGCAAGTGTAGATGTACTCCCTTGTCTATGGACAGGGGACCATCCACAAAAAGAAGTGTTATTTAAGTACCATATCAAGACTTGAACCCTGACAGAGGAATCCAGGACCAAGAGAACAGAAGATTTTGGAAACTTGTTGGCTTTTTAATATCTTGCTCAGAACAGAGAAGACTGTGTGAGAGGTCTCGTATGTGAAATAGGAATGTTAGACAGCGTGTAACTAAATAGTAGTGTAATTGCATCAAATGTTAGCAGTTACACAACTATTTGACAGTACCCAGGGCAGGGCCAGCAGCAAGTGAGCTCCTGGCCCCACTCCTGGGGAGCCCCCTTACACCCCACTTTACTGTCTCTATCAGAGGCAGCAGTGTGGGGTGGCAGCAGCCCCTGTCCATGGGGGGGGGGGGTTCAAGCAGCCTCTGCCAGCAGGAAACTTGAACCCCCTGCAAATAGGGGCTGCTTCATGGCAGCCTTCCCAACCTCCAACAGAAGCAGCAGCATGTGGGCAGGGGCAGAGGTGGCACCACGGAGTTGGTGCTGGGGGGGAAACCGGATTTTAACCCAGCTCTCTCCCAGCACCAGCTCCTGCCTGTCCCTCCCGTTCACCTCCGCTGCCTCTGTAGGAGGCAGCAAGGTGGGGGGGAATACAGATGGACCCATGGGAGCCAATACGCACAGAAAGATGGCTTGAAAGACAACTCCGGACACAACAACTCCCACCTGCCTTCCTCACCCTCCACACTGCTGCCTTTTTATTAGAGGCAGCAGCAAGAGGGGTGGGGAAGAGGCAGTTCTGGTGCTTGTGGGAAGCCAGCTTTTATACCAGCTCCTCACAGCACTGGCTCCCCCCCCCTTCTCCCTTGCTACCTCTGATACAGCAAGGGAGAGAGCAGGGAAGTATGTGTAGTCGATAAGATTAACCAATCAACTGTAGTCTACATATTGACATCCCTAATGTAAAAGGGATGGTTTCTTTACTGCTAGTCAGACTACTTGGGTGGGGTGGAAGATTCCCTTCAAAGGATAGGTTGATGGTTTCTATTCACTAAGAATAAGTATTCTTACCCTGCCCCTTCACAAGTTTGAGTAGTTTAGGGTTCCAAAGTGCACTATCCGGCACTTGCTGGCCAGAGGACTGGCCACCATATGGCGGCCCATCAAAGAAAATTGTTGAATAGTTTGAAAACCCATAGATGTGGTTTCATACCTGTAAGGTGCAATATTCCATTATAGATAGCTTTCTAAAGCAACTTCCTCTCCCACACACGTACCAGTAGCAGCAGGGGAAATTTTAGGCACCAAGGGTAGTAAGTACAAGCAGCAGAGGAGCTGGGAGGAAGAGCTATTTAACATGTTAAGCAGGAGGCAACAGGAAAAAAAAAATCAGAAGGAAACTATACCTCCTAGGAGAGAACCAGTGATTTTGGCTCAATAATGTAAAATTAATTTTCGTCACTAGAACCCTTTAATGGAATCATTTCTTAATTCAAATTTGTCTACAAAGATTATTCAACACTTTACTGATTTACTGTCACCAAAACTCTTACATCTTGGATTAAAGCTTTAATCTGACTTGAAGTCTTGCAACAGTATCTCCCAAAGAACTGCATCAGCAGCCTATTTTTAGTATCCATAAAGTGCAGAACATAAGAATGCTCCTCACATATTGCACTGTAGTTTAAACAGAGTATTCAGAAACCACTTGATTTTAAAGCTAACATAACCTTCTGACAACCCCTGTGTCATTCCTTCAGAACAATTACAGATTCTCAGCTTTAAAACAAAAAAAACAAAAAAAACCACAAAGACAGTGTTTCTCTGTTGTGGTTGAAAAAAAAATGTAAAAGTGAGATCCACCCACACAAAAAGAAACATTCCAGGTCAGAGCAAGGCAAAATACAGCTCATGGGCCATATCTAGCCCATCAGCCATTTTAATCCAGCCTTTGAACTTCTGCTGGGGAGCAGGATCCTGGGCTTGTCCTGCTCCATGCCTGCCTTGGCTCCATGTAGCCCCTGGAAGCAGCAGCATCTCCCCATTCTGGCAGGCTCCTACAAGTAGGGGCAGCTAGAGGATTCCATGCACTGCCCCCACAACTCCCATTGGCTGGGAACCATGACCAATGAGAGCTACAGGGGCAGTGCCTCCTGACAGGGGAACAGCACACAGTCATCTGGTCATGCATTTGCATAGGAACCAGCTGGAAGGAGAGTCATGTTGCTGCTTCCAGGAGCTGCTTGGAGGTGGTAAGCATAGCCTGGAGTCTGAGACAAACCCCCTCACCCTGATCCATTCCTGATCACCCCTTCCACCTCTTGCAGGCCTCAGTCCCAATTCAGAGTACCCTCCTGCACTCTAAACCCCTCATCTCTAGCCCCCTCCTACATTCTGAATTCTTCATTTCTGCACTCCAACCCCAATTTTAATGAACATTCATGGCCCTCCAATTTCCATACACTGATATGGTCCTCAGGCCAAAGAGTTTGTCTGCCCCTGCTCTGTGGGCTGGTATAAGTCACTAAGGTATGTTTGCTCAGTCTAACTTTGTAAGTTCCCATCCCAACCTCAATGAAGCCAAGCAAAAAAAAACTCTAACCTCATCAAATATCTCAAGATAGAAGGAGTCCACACCCGGGGGAACAGTGCACTGGATAACTTTGTTCCAGCGTGGGTTTTTGGCTCCATTGTGTGCTGTAGGAGTTTCATACACAGCATAACCAAGCCGTATTCGACAGTATGGATCCATGCGAGTCATGCCATAGTTCTTGGCCAGTTTTGCCTGGGAAGAAACCAATAAAGAATGAAGAAAATAAAAGATTTTTTTTTTTAAATCGAAGTTTGTCATTTTCTCTTATTAATTCTTATGAGTGCAACAATATATTAGTTTAAAGGGATAGGGAACCTACTGCCAGCTCACCTGGATCTGGTCCCAGAGGCTCCTCCTCCCAGCACTAGGGAGTAAGCACTGAAGCACCAGCTCCCTGGTACAGGAGGAGAGGAGAAAGGGAGAATCCCGAGCCTCACTGGCCGGAGTCAGGCAAACAGAGGATGAATATGATCCACAGACAATGCCTGATGGATGAAGGAAGCATCTTTGCACGCTGCTGCTCCTCCTGCCCCTTCTCCACCTCCTGTTGAGGGAACAGCAGCACAGCTACCTGGAGGCTTTTCCACTGCTGCACCGTAATCTTGGCTAAAAGCAGCAGCAAGAGATGATACCTGGGAGCAGGCAGGGAACATGGAGCCATGTGTGTCCCTGGGAAGCGTCTCCCTCCCCCCATTACCTAGACCAGGGGTGTCCAAACTTTTTTCAAAGAGGGCCAGATTTGAAGAAGTGAACATGCGTGAGGGCCGTCCCCGCACTTTCAGCCCCAAGGCGGAGGGCCCGCGGGGTCGAAGGCGGGCGGAGAGCGCAGGGCACGCCGGCCTCACGGCGGCCCGGGGGGCAGGGCGAACCCACAGCCGAGCGGGGGAGCGGGGCTGCGGACGTGCCCTACAGGGCAGGCTCTAGGACCGCGGAGGCCATGGGCGGGGGGGGGGGGGCGGGCGG